TATTTATATGTAGGCCCGAGGATGTAGGATGTAGTCTAAATACACTATGTGACAACGCCAGTTATTCGGAGTTTAGTAAGACTATAAACAGAAGAGGGGTAAAACAATACATTTGTTGCACTCATAACCAGTCAATGACTGTTTATTGTTCAGACTTACTGTACTTAAACTATACTAATGTACAGTTATTTAAAAACAACTTACACTTACTCCTTAAACTAGGTAGTTTCTAAATGTGCATAAAAGTATTTATTACATCATGCACATTATGATATATCAAACTTATAGCTATGCTTTCGGTTTCTCTATGGTTTCACGGAGGCAATCCCAAACTATGTACCATAATGCCATTATTGGCCTTAAGTGCAAGCTGAAGAAAAATTGCTCACACATAAAATACTGTTTATACCACTTGAATTCGAAACCTCAGGTAAAATATTCTTTATCCAGTCTTTCTCCACTTCATAACATTTATCATTTTATGATACAGTGATACTTTGAGTTTACTTTTTTTTCAGAAATAAAACACTGTTTCACTTCCTTATCACAATCACTTGTGGTCACTTGACATCCTAAGTCGGTAATAAAGTACATTTTTGTGTCTGTCGATATCTAAATGCAATCATTCATGCAGAGTGTAGATAAGATCAGAAAAAAATACTGAAAAATAAGACATTTTTAAACTTCTTCTCAAGTTTTATATTTAGTATTTTGTTATTCATTAATTAGGCTAAAACTAATTGCTACATACAGTAAGTAAAATTAAATAGATGGGGAAATGAGTAGTATTGTAAACAGAACCAAAGGAAAAATATGTGTGCTCGTCCCGAACAGAAGCCAAAACTTTTATACTTCTTTTAGTCATTTTGTATTATACAGAGAAATTCTGCTTGTGAAAGGATATAATTGGCTAAAATAAAATATTGAATTTTTTTCCTACTATGACATCCTGCCAAGGAGCATCATCATATAACTTAATAACAATTAAGCTGAAAACGTAAACTATTTGATAACTATAAAATACTTGCAAAAAGACACTAAGTCTTATTACCAACTAGAACTATCCATTGATACAAACGCTCTGTAACAAGACTCCTAATCAGTTGAAATTATTTCCAACTAATGCTTTAAAACATTCATGAGCTCTCGTCACTCACAATTTATTGAATAGTAATTGAAATGCAATTAATATTCCTAACTTAAGGTTCAGAATATTCAACAAAAGTTACAAGTTTTGGAGCTGATAATTATGGGTTAGTAATATTATTATTTTTTTTCTTAAAACTTCTACATTTTTTGAAAACAAATTAGTTTAAGTTTAAATAAGATTAAGACAAATGTATGCATGTGACTGAATTCGTACGAATTTATAAATAAAAAATAAGTAAACCACTCTGTCCCTGTTATGCTTGTGAAAAAAATATATAATCATTAACTATTTTAATGATAAAAATCAGTCAGGATGATTTAGTAATTTCTGTCATTTACGGTCAATTTAAGGATACACTTCTTCTTTGAAGTATCAAAATCATTCAAGACCAATATGAAAAGTAAAGGTGACTAATGTGTTTGTAATTAAGCACAAAACTACACAATGGGTTATCTGTGCTTTGCCCACCACGGTGTCGAAACCCGCTTTTTTAGTATCGCAAGTTGCAGACATACCGCGGTGACACTGGGGGCACGTGACTAATTAAAAGTAAGTTAGGATTTAAGTATCTATTTACGTTATGATCAATTTTCATAATTTCACATCATATTAATAAGTTGTCCTGATTTAAATATCAAAAGCCATAGAGCATACGTCTGACGAATATGCTTGCTTTTTTTAAAGCAAAGCGAAGACTGATTTTGGTTGCGTTTTATATGAAAAACAATAAAGCCAGTACTTTTGTTCGGGATTTTGTATTGATGTAATATCAAGAATATAATCTTACAGTTATTGATGTTGAAGTAATATTGACGCTGCCGCATAGAATCGCGTTTGAGTGTTTTATTCGTGATAGCTTTAAGTAAATAACGCTGAACTTTAACTATATATATATATATAAGCATAATAACTGGAATTTATTCTCACTAAATAAATTAAGCCACTTATTTCCACTTTCTTGTTTCAAAGATGGCGTTGAATTATTTTCATATAAGTTTCACATTGCTCATTTTTCATAATAATATTTTATAAATCTAAGATGGGTAATTTTAAGACAATTTCATCTCGCATCCTATGATTCGCATAATGGTTATTTCACAAAGAAAGAACATACGATTTAGTCTTTTTAATATTTTTAAGTAGTTGCCATATCAAACACTTTTGCCACCATGTAGCGCTGCTGTCTCTTTTGTTAATGGTCTTTAAACTTAATTTATCTTAGAAGAGTTGTACGTAGAAATTGTTCACTTTGATACTACATGATAAGCGGCTATAAAAACAAAGAAAAGAATGAGAAGTCTGGGGAATAAGAAAATAACTAAGGATTCTTAATCCCAGTAAAAAATTAAGGATTCTTAATCCCAGTAAATTAGTTTGTCACGACGAGTACAAGAGTTAGGACTACCTGACAAAATTCGGTATGTCTCATTAATTATTCTTCTGTCGTTTGCTATGGTTCGGCTTTATGCTTAGTAAATATTTAATTCTCCTACTTCATACGAGTTTAATCTTAGCGTTAAATTTCTTGAGATGTATTTTTTTTTGTTATTTTATGTGCAATTAAAGTACTTTGCATGTGAAATGTTTTCATCGTTGAATTAATGAATCCTGCTAAACAACATTATTTACGAGCAATAGACTTAGAACATTACGTGAGAATTTATCAGAGTAAAATATTCTATAAGCTATCTTCTTGACGTGGTTACCTGGATTACTTGCCCTAATAAATTGAATTGTTATTTTCATAAAATCTATTCCTTTGATATATATATATTATTTTTATTGCCACGAGATTCTTTGGGATATCTGTAATGTGATTTTTATTTTGATTAAGCGTTATTGGAAGACTATTTAAATTTCCTGTCATTTTCACACGAAATATCGACCATAAAGATTACTTATGATCATGAGGTGAAAAAAAAATCACTTTTACGATTCTAGCTTCCTGGTGTAAATCTAAGAATGGAATTCTACCGATGAAACTGAATTTACGGGGGTGTGAAAACATTGAGGTTTATGATATTTTTAAGGACAATTTACTGTCGTGAATAATTTGAATACAGATATTATTTCTGTTAGTGTACATATATTGTGTGTTAGCTGCGCCTACAAAAGAGATTTTATATCTATAAACATCTTCCACTTTCTGCACAGAATAGAAATAGAAAAATGTGTACAGTTTGTTTATATGCGGCAATATATATATATATATATATATATATATAT